TTCCCAAGTCATAGGCTGCAAAGTTTGATCCTTGGGATGCTGCATCAATAAGGTAAAAAAGCCCAAGTGAGTGTTGCTTGGCCACGCCTGTCCCATGCAGATAGCACCAACCCATCAATGCCTTGCCCCTGACATCCCCAACCTCATGAGCTTTCTTGTGCCACTGAAAGGCCAACTTCTTGTCTTTCTTGAAACCGTCCAATCCACTTCCATACTTGATTCCTGCGCTATACATTGCACTTCCATCACCGGCTTCTGCCTTCTTCAGCAATTTTTCCATTTTCTTCTTCTGTTCCACCTTTTTATTCCATTTGTCAGCCAAGTCCCCATCAATGACACCAGACTCCACCAAAGTCTCTATGGTATTGCGGTGCTGAATGGCTGGGAAGAGACGGGTTCCCATTTCTTCTCGGGTGATGGGGGATGGGGGATGTGAGATTGTGATGGTTTTTCTTGATGTGCTCCTCAATACATTCCCGCTCATAGACTCGGCCATCCTCGGCCATGACAGGTTCCCAGGGCAACTCCAAACTGATGGGACAAATCAAATCATCTGCTGGTGATTTCTTGGGGGGATTGGTGGACATTGTTTAGTGTTGGGATTGAAAACGGCCGGACGATACGTCTTGAAGTTGAGGCGCAAAGAAAGCCGACGCTGAACGCTGGCTTGTATTGGTTCTTGGGACGGACTGCTATGCTGTTTACGTTGGACAAATACCAGTACTATTCTGAATTGTCTCCCTTCAAAGTCGAAGTGTCGTCGTTGATTGTTCGTTTGTTCGTCAGTTCGTCGGTTCGTTTGTTGCCTCGTCAAGTCGAAGTGCCACTATCGGCGTTTGTTTCTGGTCGTTGGTTCGCGACTTTTGTTTTTGTGTGATGCTCGACTGGCGGCATGAAGCGTAGAGTTAGAGCTAAATCCGCGGAGTTCCGAACGCATTCTGGTCAGCGCTCCCTCAGAAGGAAGGCAACGCAACCCACGCGTCACAGCCCTTGGATCCATTCCATCGGCAGCCAACAAACGAAAGGCAACGAGGAGCCGCCGATACAACCGACAACCAGCAACACCCGTAGTTGAGCTGTTGAAGAGGAGAGTGAACCATGGTGAGTAGGAACAATGGCGTTTGCGATCAGCTGTGTAGATTGTGATTTTGTGAGGCGATTGCTTCTCTGGAGAGACGTCTGGGTCTCGTTGAGTGGCGGCCCGATACGCCGATGGTGGTGGGCGCTTCCCATCCATTTGTCTGTACCTGGTATACGGTCTCCATGAGGCTCTATTGCAAGCTGTTGCGCTACGAGTACTGCTGCTGTTCCCAGAAAAATTAGAGACGCGGCGTTGTCTTTTTTGTGAGCCAATCCAATGAATTTCTCATCCCGTGTCGCCCACACGTTTTCTGCATTATTTTTACTACTCCTTTTTGATATAAGGCTGAAGATCCAGTGGACCCAATGCCCAAGATTAGGGAGGCATGTTTGCCAACTTGCCCCAAGCAAAATACTCTGTACGAAGCCTGCAAGAGTCGTATTGCGAAATCAGGCGAAGGGGACTGTGAGGCGTGGTACTTTGAATTGCATCATTGTGTCGACAAGTGCGTTGCTCCCAAAGTCTTTGCTGCCACCAAGGGAGGCTAAGCTCCAAATAGTATTATGAAATCGTTGATTGATTGAATATTATTTTCCCCTCTGTTCTGGTTGCCTTTTCGGCTAGCTAGAATAAGCAGAGAAATGGTGTGTGGTGGTCATGTAGTTCTTGGCATGGCAATGGTTAAAATAGTAAAAAATAGAATCCATTTGATCTATTGACACAAACCAAATAAAAACTCTTTCGTAGTACATGTAGAAGTGCACCAGTAGCTAGCTAGCTAGTGGCCTCTCTGAAAAGACTCCTCTTGGGACCTGCAAATCTGAGAAAAGTAGATCGCCCAACTAGCTAGCTACGGTAGCAGCTAGTAGCTAGCTGCTACCGTAGCTAGAGATCGAGATCAGGTGCATTCTGGCCTTCGAGGAATTCGGCTTGATGGAGCCGCAGGAGTTTTGCGCCCGGCGCAGCGGTTCCATTACGCTATTGGAGAGGGATTGGCATGGAGACTAGCTACCGGTAGTGACACTCTTGCCGACCGGTTGCGTAAATTCTAGCATGTGGCCTGGAGCTCATCGATTGATTGGGAGGCAATGGGCTCAAACCTACGTGTACGGTATCCGCTGCAGAAATGACGCTTAGCCTTCGATCCCCATTTAGTAACCTATTTTATGCTGCGAATCACTTATAACGACCACCAATCTTCCTATTTACCGACAAGCTAGCTAGCTAGACGGCAAAGGATGCAATGGAACCTTCGCTCATCACAGAGAAACGCCCCGAGGTGGATCTCCGTCCCGACTTGCTTCCGAAACTGAAAGATCGCATCGGTGGATAGCGCAACGAACCATCGTCAACCACCACCCGCCGGGCTTCCATGGCAGCTCTACTTTTCTCGGATGAAGACAGTTGCGACACGTTTTTCATGGGACCCACGGTGGCTGCTTCGTCCTGCGGTTGCTCTTGTTGTTCTTGAAATCGCTGAAAGGTACGACCCCGATGGTTGTTCTGGGACATGGTACCAGCCAATCGTTGTGTGTTGGACATGTGAACGTAATCGATCACGTCGAATCCTTCCGGTCGACGGTACAGAGGTTGCAATGGTGGTGGACAATAGAAACCTGGATGGATGTGAGTCGACAAATGGAACTCTCCGTCGATGCGGCTATGACTGCCCATCCCTCGCTTCTGTGCATTGGGATTTCGGATACCAAAAGTGTCAAACAAGGAGACATCTTGGTGGGAGGAGGAGCCCAACCGAGACTCCAGGTCTCGAGGTCGACCATGATCATCGTTTCCCTGGATTGCCTCATCCTCGTGATGGAGATTACTACATCGGCAATCAATGACGCTCTGTCCACACTGACTGCACCTGTTCAACCAAGTCTTCTGATCCTGCTGTATCGAGACTGTCACTTCGTGCATAATCGCATCGCGTGAATGGGCGCTTCCAATGCTGTGGCGACGCCGCAACGAACGTGGATTTTGCAAGGATCCTTCTCTTTGATCACCTCCGCCAGCTTCAGAATGCGAACCATCCTTGCCAGACCCCGGATGAGCCACGGACGACGGACCATCAGTTCCTCCTCGGCTCGGACCTCTTCTCAACCTGGGATCCATCTGTTGGTGAAATCCCGTTTGCTGGGCCCAGTATGGATGCCAATACGGATCATACGGGTGACCCACAACTGGATGGCTGGGATAAGGAGGGCACCTGTAGTCAGGATACCTTGGATTGCCCCCGGGTTCGTGGTGAGACGATGGCATTACACGACCATCCGAGAGTTTGCCAGTTGGCGGGTACGGGTGCTGGTGCCACATGAACCTTGGGTCTTGCGGTGTTGGGCCACCTCGGCGATTCGGGTCAAAGTACATGGATGGATCGTGATGATGAAAGAAGCCATTATCAGTGGCGTTGAATGCGACTTGCTGGACATCATGACCCGAATCACCAATTTCATCTTCTGCTTCGCGTTCACTTTTGCATTGTTTGCGACGCCCATCATCACTAGAACACTTGGACTCTGAACCATGATCGCTCTTACTTGTCCGGCTGTGTTCCTCTGCTACGTCGACTGAAGATTGCGAATGCCGATGCAAGTCCGTTCCTCTGTTTCCATCACTGGAGCGTTTGTGCGACTTGGACCGCTTCTTACGTCCCTCCTTGTGGCTGCTCTTGCGGTTGGACCTCGCCTTCTCCCGCTTTGGATCCACTGGATCTTGATCATCATCTTCCGCAGCCACGTGGCTGATCGACCGCCTCCTGTGTCTGGCCGGAGTTGGATCTCGTCCTTTGCTCTCAGAGGGTCCGCCATCATTCTTGGTTTCACTGTTCACTGGCTTGGATTTTGATGATCTAGAGGGCTTGTGCTCGTCACCCCTGGACTTGTGGCCCTTCGACTTGGATTTCTTGGGCTGGGTTGCTACAGAGCCATCCTCGTTCTGAGTTTCCAAGACAGTGTCCAAGTACAGAGATTCTAGCAAACAAGACGTGTCGCTAGGACGAGAACTGCGGGAATCCCTCGGTTCCGGTGCTTGCAAATTGCTACTGGATCCACGACTGCTTCTGTGGTTGGATGATTTTGAAAGAGATGACAAAGATGATGACCGCCTGTAGCTCTTTTCACTGGAGACCATGCCTTGGCTCCTCTCGCTAGAACTCATGCCATGGCTCCTCCTGCTAGAACTCATGCCATGGCTCCCCCCGCTAGAGCTCATCTCGTGGCTCCGTTCACTGGTGCTCATGTCATGACTGGACATTGCGAGGTCGTCCAAGGTTAAGCTAGCCCTTGACGAGTCTGGCATGCTTGCCTTCCTTGAGGACTTTCTGTTTTCGCTCTTAGAAACAGACCTTTTCGACTGTGTGTCCTTGGAGCTTGAGGCGCTGCCCGATCTGGACTTGCGCTGTCTCTCCTTTCCCCTCTCCTTTGGTTCTGCATTGTCGCTTTCTCTCGACTTTTCTTTCTCTCGTTTCTTTTCTCTGTCGCGGCGCCTTTCCCTGTCGGCTTCCTTCTCATTGCCCCTCTCTTTCCGAGCTCTTCGTGCACTGCGATTGGCTACGGCTTCTGATGTAGAAGAATCCTTGTTGCTTGCAGTACTCAGCTTGGAACTTTCGCGGCTGTTGTTGGCATGGGAATCTTCTGATGCGAGGCTGCCCACACTTGTGGCACTCGTGGCATTGGACTCATGATCAGACTTTCCCTGCAGCTTCAAAATTGTTCTGTCCTCCTCCAAACTGATCCTCGAAGCACTCGTGCGTACCGCCTTTACAACTACCGGACTCAAGAAGCAGCCTTTGTCATTGTCAATTTGCTCCGGCTTGGCAATAGTAGACTCTGACGCATCAGCACCAAAGTCCCCCAGCGTTTCCGTGTCTACTAGCGGGAACTCTTTGCTGGCATTCAATGCCTCGTTTCGTTGTAGCAGTTTGCTGTAGTCTAGTTTTTCCGACAAAGAAGAACGTTGCTGATTGTCTCGCTTAGGTGATTTGGAGGAGAGACTACCTTTGCGACGTCTTCTCTGACCCCCCTTATTGTTGTTGTGGTTCTCTGGAAGACTCTTACTCATTCCATCGTATTCTCCAGAAGAGGGTGCAGTCTCCTCCCAATTGTCTTCAGCAAAGGAGGCGTGCCAACTCATCTTCATAAGTTGCTTTTCAGTACTATCATGAAGATTGATGATGTTGTTTTTCTTGTCCTCGCCGCCAGAGGCCTCACCGTCATCATCAATGGGAGAGAGCTTGGAAGAACTACTGCCATGGGATCCTCGTTTTGGATTGTCGTTGTGTTCGTGGTCTGCCCTTGTGGCCCCGACACTTCTTGTTTTTCGAACTGGGCGCTTCTTGCTGGATGTCTCATGCCAACTAGTACCGCCTATACCAGTATTCTTTTCAACCCGTTGTTGTTGGGTCTCCGTCTTTGCCTCGAACTTGGCCTCGAAGCAAAAGTCAGGCGCTTTCTTTTCCGAATTATTGGTAGTGTCACCCAGACCTGTGGCACTGTTCGACCGAACCATCCTTGCTTGACTGATGGTTCGACCTCTGGCATTGTTGTTGTTGTCTGTGCTGTTTTCCCATCTCGTGGGTGGGCTTCGGCTGTTCAAAGGAGAACTGTACGTCCTCCGAAGGGGTGACCTGCTGCGATTAAGGCCCATGCCACGCCTACTCCCTGTGGAACCAAATCTACCCCTTCGTCCAGGGGTTCTTTCGGGAGTATTTGCAGAACAAGAATCATTGTTGGTTGGTTGTGTTGGTTGTTGTGTGGAGATGATATCCGCGGTCTTTGTTGCGGCTGCTCGTTGTTGCCTCATTGCCGCCAATGGTGAGCTCAGGCACCTCCTCAGTGGTGCCCTGTTGGAGCTTGACTTGCCCTGGGCTCCAAATCTTTCTCGAATGGGACTTCTATTGGAGGAAGCTGCTGTTGCTGCTGTGTGTCCCGAAGTGTCCATTCCAGGCTTGGTCCTGCGATTCCTGGACGCCAATGTGGAGAAGGAATCGTCCATTTCAGGATCCCTTGTACTACTAGCCTCCGAATTCCGCCGTGTGACATTTCTTCGACTGCTCTTTCTTTCTCGACTGATGAAGCTGCTGTTTGCTCCTCCTCTACCGGCAATCATGGCTGCCAATTTGAACAATTGGACCGGATCACTCGAGTTTCGTTGTACATTCCGCTGCCCTTCATTGATGGACGGTAGAGTTGTTGTGCCACTACTGGTACGTTTGCCTGCCGTGTTGAACGACATGACGCTCTTGTCACTCATCATGGGACCCAAGGTCGGCAGGGAGCACTCCTCTGCTTCGACCTCACGAACATGAAAGGACTCTAATTCCAAATCAGACAATCCCCTGTCGAGAGGCACCGAAAGACTGGATAGACTGACTGTCTTGTTCAGCTTTTTCGTATTCTTGGCCAGAGGACTCTCCAGAGCCTTTTCGGCCAAAATGGTAGAACAAAGGCCACCCGTCACGGCACGAGATGGTCTCCTCATGTCTCGTCTATTCCCAGTGGGCCACTTGTCCTCCTCAACTTCCTCATGGTGGTGGTGGGTCCGGCTGCTGCTCCCAGAGATACCCCACCTCTCAAAGATACCGTTTCCTTGCGTCATCTTGCTTGCAGTCTGAAGAATGAATGAACTAATTTAATGTAGGTATCAATGACTCTGGTAATTGGAAAGAAAATAATGGCAACCGTAGCCTACAGGACTACTACCAGTACGTACAGCAAGCTTCCAGAAGCCGGTGGCGCTTTGAAGATAGATGATGTTTGAACTCGTGGACCTTTCGCTTGTCGCGTTTCGACGCTCAAAACGTGACCTCTAACCCTGTTCTACTGGAGATTGACCAGCCCATGCAAAGTTCTGCCTTGATTATAAGAGTATGACTATTTGGAACAGTGGAATGCCGCGGAAAGCAATCAACCTTTTGGTAGGTTGATGTTTGTTTCACATCAGTCTAACTAAGGGAGTACACGCGTAGTTTCTCGACCGTAGCTAGCTAGCTTGTCGTTGTCTATTTCCTTCATGGGCCAGTCTTGATATTCTTCCTCCTTAAACCTCCTAGTCCTGCAGGTCTGAGCAGCCGCAGTCTTCCACCTTTCTCTGAACTTCTGCTAGTTTAGTGTTTTATTGATCCAATTGCTACAGTGATTCGATCATTCTATTTCATCCTCGCTATCATAGGGGTAGTTTAGGTCTTCTTGGCTGCACTCGCATTGTGTGTGCTACCACTAGACTAGACTATTTCAATACCTTCCGTAACAGTTTCCGGTCCGTCGTTTTCTTCACACCAAGAGATGAGAAGTTGTTCTGTCCAGCTAGCATTCTTCGTCAAAATGACTTGTAGTTGCTGTTGTCCGGTTTAGCATTATTTGGTTTCCGCAATGAATTAAAGCCCCAGGGAAAGATTTAAAGCTGTCCAAACAAGATTGGTGTTCGTTCAAGGAGCAATGGGCCCTGCTATGTTGGAACTTCTACACAGAAGATCCAGTGGTCTGCTTTGCAGCAGCTGAACTTCCGACGAACAGCGGTAGAATTGCAATCAATAAATAAATTTCAGCTGCGAACAGCCTGCACTTAATCAGTGTCGAATGTCCAAGTTCCCATTGACGCAACGCCGTGTACTAGCTAGCTAGAACCACCACCAGCACCGGTATGCCAACTGATAAGCTAGATGCGGCTATCCATCAGTGCAGCTAGCTAGTTTGATGTAGAGAAAGGAACTATATGGCTTTATCCAGGAACGAGGTTACCGGTACCATTGGGGCACGGTAGCACATTGCTTCGACGATGCCGTGCAATCCTCTCAAAGTGCCATCTTCAATGCAGGCGATAAGAAGTCGAGTTTGTAGAGTACCCGAGAAGAACCCTGGCCGGTTTTCAGAAGCATTCCAGCCACAATCCGAGCTCGAGCGGTCCAGACAGGTTGACTACTTGGGAAGAAGAGCAGTTGGCACGAAAGCTAAAGGACGAGGCGCGTTTTGGGTCGCTACTGGAGTAAGTTCATCTCCAGTATGAAGTGGCCGTGATGTCAGGTACGCACCGGTACGGTGAACAAGTGCTGCCGAATGGTTGCACCCACTCCTCTCGAGGAATGGTTGCTCCTCTCACTTCCTGGCTGGAAAGAGATGATGGTTGGCCTTTCTGGTTGATTGAACTTCGCCGTCCTATCAATCACCGCCCTCTTCGTTCGGCTACAGCGAGCTGGGGCGAGCGGAGAAGCTGTGCTGCTCCTGCTGAAGATGTGGGATTGACTCATGAGTCATCGAATCAAGCACTTGTGTCTTCTCGAAATTCTTTATGTGGAGGCTCCGATCCATGAAAATAATAGTGCTAGTCAGGACATCTGCACCAGTGTGATCACAGACAGACAGTCTCTGTGATCACCGCCAGGAAGTGTCTGGTAGTTGTGAGGCTCTTTGGGTTCACCGCGATGCTGCAGCTGCTATGAATCTTCACACAATGTCCTGGGTACTTCTCACTTCGTTCCAGCCCTTCTGTTGTGAAGCGTGCCCCGGAGACTGGCGACTCTCCTCACCCCATCTGAGGAACGAGGAGATCTCCTTGTTTGTGGCAACTGACAATTTAGTTCTTGGGTACAGTATGCTATTCATCTAAGCTAACACCCCACCACATCGATTATTTTGGACTTTTTTCGTTTGTCGTCCCCCCAATTTGACACATCAAGCTCTTGACAGTCAGTCAGTCTCCCAAGTTTCCGATTTCGTCTGGTTCAATCTTCTCGTTTGGCAACCGTGTCTCCAACCAATTGTTTGAGCTCGTCCACAACGCTCGCTTTCGCCGCTTCGTCAACCGCCAATTTCTTCGAGACAAGCGCCTTGACAATTTCCTCCAGGGCACCATCCAAGGTGGTCCAGCTGGGATCTTCCCAGGACTTTTCCTTCAAAATTTGTCGGTATTTCTTGACCTTTTCCTTTGTTTCCGTAAAGACACTTGCTTTACCAGTACAGTGCATCTACGAAAGCGCCGTCATGGGTCACAAGGTTCCGCTGTTCTGAATCAATAGTCTAGCGCACTTCTTTAGAGTGCTTTCCTGTTCGATTTCGATGTATGCCGCCAATCCATGAAGCGCTCGCAAAACGGATGGTTTCCACTGTTCTCGTGTCATTTTCTTGCTGCGTCCTCGGCGAAAAGAAAATCCGACAAATGAAAATTGCTTCTTCGTCGTCCACCAGCCGCTTTACAATATATATCATCACAGAGAACTGCCATGGCATGCTTGGCATTTTCCAGTCCTCTTCCACAGAAAACAACATCTGAATCTCCGAATGAACGAATTCATAGATTGCACTTGTCTTTCAAAGAGAGGGCGAATTGAGTCGTCGATGGTTCAAAAACTCCGGCGATCTGATCAAGGCGGGCTTTGAGCTCCTCGCTCGTGCTCTTCTCTGGAAGCAAACTTTTTTCCAAGTGCCGCCATCACGATACTTTCCACGGAGCTTCGTCATCATGAGTTTACTCCATTGCTTGTCTTGGAAGACAGGAATGTCGGGTTCGTTCCTGAACTTGTTGGTAAAGAAACCCTTGATAGAAGAACAATACTGGGCTGCTGGCTGAGCCGCGTTTGAGACGGCCGGCTTCCGGATTGCATCATTTCCTTGCATGATTGTGGAAAAGGATGGCATCGGCTTCGACAACGTCGATTCCAATTTGGACGCAATACGTTTTGTTGAGGAAGCAATTAATTGAAATGATTCAAAGCCAATCTCTCCTTCGGTGCGGATGAGGCATTTTAAAATTAAGATCATCACGGGCGCCCCCGAAGTGGGTTGGAGAAGCCATTGTCGTCGTTCCGGATGCCATCGTTGTTGTATCTTCGACGAGGAGAAGTAAGGTTGTGTTGTTGGTGTTGTATCTTTGAGGATGTGTGGATTGCTGGAATGGTCGTCGAGATGGTGTCCAGTACTGTATTGTTTATCAGTGAAATCCGTGCATACACAGTCGTGCAGCGTGGGGACTAGGGAAGACTATTAGTAAATTTACTACTATGGAGTACATGTAGTAAAATTTCCATACTGTACAGTATATATATATTCCCCTTTTTTCTCCTAAAAAGATGTACTGTAGAGTATCCATGAATGGGACTTCCCCATGGCCCATGGGACTTACTGGAGTCTTCCAATCAGATTTATAGAAATGGGTTCCGTAATTATATTGCATTCAGTACTGTACGCTTTAGAATACTGAGTCGAGTCAATGACCATCTGTTTCAATTACTAGTATGCATACTCCGAGTATTAATAGTTAATAGTACTAGAGTAGTACCGGTACCGGTAAGAGTGAGAATTAGGAGCCTGTGCTCCTCTCTGCTTCCCCTTCCATCTTCCTTTCTTGCAGTCTTGCGGTCCCAACAGCTTGCAAACTCTCTTTTGCATTCACAACCTCTTCCTTGCAGGTTGCAGGCTACAAGAAGCATCCAGCCGTCGAGTTCTACTATTAGCTAGTAACAACCATGGCGAGACCAAAAGATAAGAGTATCATGACAGCATCCGGAATTAGCACCATTGCCACTGGCGACAGCTATTATGATGTTTCCGATAGCTCGATGGATATGAGTACATTATTCCCCGTGCGAGATGAAGTCAAGGAAATAGAAAAGTCGTCTCAAGTGGACACGGCCAATGTGCGGTTGTGGCGTCTGGCAACCACAGGAGCCCTCTTATTGACGGCCTTTTTGGTTACGTATGCTACCTATCGGTTCCTGAAGAATGAAGAAAGGAATAATTTTGAGACTGCGGTAAGATTTTGACATTCATGTTCTGCATGTGTTCTATTTGACATTTATTGGATGCAGTTCCTGATCAATCTTCTATTGTATGCACTTCAGTTTGAGCAATTCTCCCGAACCATTGCGGTCTCTGCCATTGCCCAACAATCGGATCTTCGCGATGGAATGGAGACGCTGGCCACGACGATATCGCTCTATGCCAAGAACAACAATGCCAACACGACGTGGCCGTTTATTACGGTTCCCGACTTTGAACATCATGGCCGCAACATGATTCAACAATCGCGCGTCGAAGTCGTCAATTTATTCACGCGCGTTGCGGCGGCCGATCAACACGAGTATATCGCGTATGCCAATCAACATGCCCGACAATGGGTGGAAGAAGGGCACCAAATACAAAAGGGATCGTTGGAACGATTGTTGGATCCACTGGGGAATATGACGTATCATCCCTTTTTCACAAAAGTAGTACCCATGGACAATACTCCGCTGGGGATGGGATTTGCGCAAGATACAGGGACTGGAGACGAAAACGAGTATTTCTCTGCCAGTTGGCAATTCTCCCCTCCACCAGGTGAGTATATATATGGCAACCGTTGTCTGTCTCATTCATTTCATGCACGACAACCTGACGAATCTTTCTCTTCCTTCCTTCCTTCCTCTTATTATTATTATTTAGCCACCTACGCTTTGATCAACTGGAATGCAAATTCCCATCCTGACTACGAGATGTTGGGCCATGCCATTCTGGCGCTCCGCTATGAGACTGTTGCAACCAGGGTATGTGATTATACAACTTCTTTAGTTAGGAGCAGCAGTACCATGCAATGACAATGTATATTATTATTGTTTCACTGCATGCTAACCACTTACTTACTTTGTTGCCTACACGTGTGTGTGTGTGTGTGTGCACGTACTCCCGCAATCAAATAAAGGTTCGACCGTACTTTAGTGTCCCCTTGACCATGACGGAAGAAGAGCATGTGGCGTATCATAGCAAGTTGCAAGAATCCAGTCACTTGACCCCACATACATTCATTGGTAGGGCCATCTTTCGAACGGTCAATGATTACGAGTCCGATATTGTGGCCACGCTGGGTGTGGGAATGGCATGGGATGCTGCCTTGAATGGACTGTTGCCGGCCAATGTGGATGGCATTCAATGTGTCGTCAAGAATACCTGCAATCAAACATTCACTTATGAAATATGGTACGCAATGCAAAACATAATTGCTTCTTGTTTGGACGATAGTATGTATGTATGTATTTCTTTGATTGATTGTTCTCACCCACCCGCGCTACTACTATCTGGGTCACAGGGGAGAAGATGCCATCTTTCGGGGAGAGGAGGATCTTCATTTGGCAAAGTATGATGACATGAAAGTGACAGTGGATTTGGCCCTACACACACACCCGGACTTTGAGACGACACCGGGGCACTGCATGTACTGGATGGTAAGTACTGTACAGCTAGTAGTGCAATGAGAGAAGCTCACAACGCTTATATATACTCAACAATTCATTTCATTTCAGGATATTTACCCCACTGACAAGTTCAAGTCGGCCTACGATTCCAATACACCCGAAATATTTGCAGCGGTTGTCGCGGCTACTTTTGGCATTGTGGCTGTCGTGTTCTTTATATATGACACGTTTGTGCAAAAACGAAACACCAACCTGGTCCTCAAAGCCGCACAAACCAGTTCCATTGTCACCAATGTATTCCCCGAACACATGAGAGACCGTCTACTGCACCATGCTGCGGAAGAGAAAACAATGATGGGAAAACGGGCCAGCCTCAAAACGTACCTGACGAGCGATGGAAAGATGGGAGGGGAGATGGACCTTTCCGAACCTTTGGCCGACTTGTATTTGGAGTGTACGGTTCTGTACGCGGATATTACCGGTACGTCGTGGATTGTTGGTGCATGCTTTGCGTTTCAGTCTGCCTTGGGTGCATTTGTTATTTACGAGACGCGTCAACCAATGCTAACAACTCTGACATGGATGTGTGCTTTGTACGCCCAACAAGGTTTCACTGCATGGTATGCTGCCGCTCTCCTCCAACGTTGAGAAGAACCCACAGGATCTGCTTGTCCCGACTCTAACCTAGTATCCTTCCTTTCGTCACGCAGGAGTTCCACGAGGGATCCAACGCAAGTATTCCAATTGCTCGAAACAATCTACTCGGCCTTTGATTCGTTGGGCAAGAAGCACAGGCATGTATTCAAAGTAGAGAGTACGGGCGATATCTACACCGGTGCGTCACGTTTGCGTCTCAACACTAACTTGCGCAAGGGTTTGTCTAACTTTTCCGCCCTGTGCAGCCGTTGTTGGGATTCCTAATCCGGTACCGAACCATGCCATCGTAATGGTGAAGTATGCCAGAGCCATCATTTCAAAGATGCATTCCCTTACCAAGGTGCTGGAGAAAAGACTCGGCCCTGACACTGCAGATCTTTCGTTGAGTAAGTTGGTTGCAACTCGACTAGCTTCCTGACGGCCTGCGATGATCACACTGCCGCTTACAGCTTGCATTCCTTCTCACAATTAATTCCTCAGGGGTTGGAATCAATAGTGGCCCTGTAACTGCTGGTGTTCTGAGGGGAAAGCGTAATAACTTTTCAGTTTTTGGGGACACGTGAGTTTCCCTCGTAGAAAATCGGCTCCGTCCCATCATAAACAGCTCATCATGCTCCTGTTTGTCAATCCCCATCGCATGCAGGGTGAACATTGCAGCACGAATGGAGAGCTCAGGCAAGCCAGGTCGAATCCATTTGTCGAAAGAGACCGCTGACTTGATCGAAGCTTCTGGGCATGAAAACTGGCTGGAAAAAAGAAGAGATTTAGTGAATATCCAAGGGAAAGGTGCGTTTTGCAATTTCCCGTATCATAGAACCGACATCGATGGCTTCTTTAATTCACAAGTTCTTCTTGGTTGTGTGCAGGGGTGCTGGAGACATACTGGTTGTCTCTACACAGAGAACGGACGGAGAGTTGTACGTCGGTTGATTCTTTCAGTGATTTGATAGCGTCGACGAGCTATGGAGCCCGGCTACCAGGGTTAGACGAGAAGACTTATCGACTCATTGATTGGAATGTGGAAACGTTGCTACGTTTAGTGCGCGAGATGGTTGCTTTTAGAGGGACCAATGCCGCTTCTCTGCGCAGAAGGTCAACAACTGCAGGTCTCTTCGAAATCAAAACCAGTGACACCCCGTTGACCGAAGTTCGTGAAATTATTCAATTGCCTGAGTTCAAATTGCGTTCAAAGACGAACCAGAATCCAGACAAGGTTGAACTTCCTGCGGTCGTTGTCGAACAACTGCACCATCTTGTGAGCACAATCGCAAGCAAGTACCATGACAACCCTTTCCACAGTGAGTATTGTCCAGCCCGCCTCGGTCGGTTTTTTATTTGCGATGCTGGCAAATCTGACCATGTCGGCCTTCCACTGTAACAGATTTCCAACATGCCAGCCACGTTGTAATGGGTTGCATGAAGTTGATCGGTCGAATAGTCTCCCCGTCTGAAGACTTCAACGATTCGGCAAACGCAGCCGCGTCTTTGTACGAGAACACGTATGGCATCACAGATCCGCTTACTCAATTCGCATGCGCGTTCAGGTCCGTATAGGTGACATGTTCCCAGACATGCACGTGCTGGACTCCATTCGGTCCTCACGCATTTTTTGTTGCTTGCTTTACATGGCAGTTGTCTCATCCATGACGTAGGTGAGTGTCATGCTGCTGCAAAGGTCTCTATGTCGCCCACACAATTCTGTTGTGAGAGATTTCATTCACACTACATTTTGACCCGTTCTTTTAGACCACGTTGGGGTTTCCAATGCCCAGCTTGTTAAGGAGAATGTTCCTGTTGCAGCGCGTTACAATGGGAGGAGCGTGGCCGAGCAGGTGCGTAGGTGGTCGGGATGGAGAGTAACTGGATGGGTCTACCGTCCGGGGCTTGATGATTTATTGAGTTCTCTCTGACTCGTTGCTGTCGTGCAACCTGTAGAATTCTTTGGATTTGAGCTGGGATCTCCTCATGCAAGATCGATACGGTGAGCTCAGAGCTTTCTTGTTTCCGAAGACGTCACACTTAGAACGATTTCGGCAGTTGGTCGTGAACGTAAGTGGGCTGCTGAAGCTGATTTGAAAAATGTTACAGATGGCTTATCCGGATGCTTGTCAAATCCATCCGCTCAACCGGATACCGCTCTTGCCATCCTCGCCATGCCTAGAGCGTCATGGCCACGGACATTGTCGATAAGGAGCTGAAAGCCCTTAGAAACCGTCGATGGGAGAAAGCCTTCAAGAAGAACGATGCAGCTGTCAACAGTAGTACACCAGAAGAACACGTCAGGGATACCGTCAACAGAAAGGCTACGATTGTGGTAAGCGCCTCATGCTGAAACTGATGTTCCACCGCCCAACTCCTCAAGTGTTGCTTGTCGCCACCCCCCGCGTTCATGATTCAGATTGAACACATCATCCAAGCAGCAGATATTTCGCACACAATGCAGCATTGGCAAGTCTACAGAAAATGGTACGTCCTTGGAGTGTCTCTGTGGTTTTCGAAGAAGCTCCGCGCACGAACGATATTTACCATTCTCTTTCTTCCTTGTTGCGCGATGGCAGGAATCAGAACTTGTTTGAAGAACTTTACGTTGCCTACTTGAATGGCCGAATGGACAAGGACCCATCAACTTTCTGGTACAATGGAGAGTTTGGTGAGTTACAACCTGCAACTTAGACCTTATTCCTGTGCCACGGTCCCAATGATTGATTGTCTATTTTGTCATGTCCTACTTCATGCTTGATATAGGATTCTTCGACTTCTACATTATTCCTTTGACGAGGAAGCTCAAGGAATGTGGCGTTTTTGGGGTATCATCTGATGAATACCTAAACTATGCGCTGAAGAACAGGCTTGAGTGGGAAACAAAGGGTCAACAAGCAGTGACCGAAATGCTCGAAGTCTGTGCTGCTAAGTATGGCACAAAAGAAGACAATAAGCTTATGGATAAGGCCCTCCTGTATCCTAGACGGGGATCCGCTGAAACAGCTTCTCAGGCAGAAGAGACTTTCATGAATGAAGATGTGGAAGAAATAGAAGTGTGAGAAAGGAGTTGCCAACGACAATCATCAAGAGTGTTGCTTTTGTAACGCCTGAAACGCAAATCCTTGCTTCTTGTGAGTGGGACGGTAGTGGAGACCCCCCCTTCACTGCTGCCTGTTGCTAGGGCCGCACGGCTCCAGAATCAACCTTTCGCATTTCATGTCTCAAAGCCTTCCGTCTGCCTGAATCGGTATGATTTGTGTCCGTGTCCTCAAGAAATAGCTACTCTAAGGGTTACCACAGTTTGACAAACGGAGATTAAATGGAGGCTACATTTACAAGGCATCAGTCATATTGGATCACTCTGGTCTTGTCACTGAACCGGCTGAGCAGCTCGAAGAGACTGCTTAACATTCCACGTCGCCCTCAAAATATTCGGACACATTCAACACAGGATCCAATGACATATCATGAACTTCAGCACAAAGATCATTCATCAAGTTGTGATGATGCGTAACAATAATAGCAGTCTTGCCTTCTAGGAATACTTTGAGCTTGCCCAAAAGGGTCTTTCGCGATTCTGGGTCCAGGGCAGAAAGGACTTCATCAAGAATGATGAGATCTGCATCTTGACAAGAGCAGAAGAGATGTGCCAGATTGATTCTTTGGAGTTGCCCTCCACTCACTCCCTGCTCACCCTGAACCAGGGTTTCATCAAGGCCATTGGGCAAAGACCTCACAAAGTCACCAACACAAGCAGCATCCAACGACGCCCAGATCTCTTGGTCAGTTGGCAACCGAGAATGCCCGTAAGTAACGTTTTCCCGAATTGTCCTAGCAAACAACGTTTGATGTTGGCTCACAAAGGCTGTCTTCATTCCTTTCCAAAAGATCATAGACCCTTGCTGTGGCTGAAGAAGCCCACCAATCACATTCAGAAGCGTCGTTTTGCCACGCCCACTCTCGCCTACGAGAACATGGATCTTGCCACGGGCAAATGAGTGACTGTAGTTATCAAGGACCAAATCGTCTCTACCGGGATACTTCAAGACAATATCCTTCAGCGCTACTTCTTGTGCATTTGGCAGGGAACTCCTTTCTCACCCTCTTTTTTGTCCAGCTTGGCCCATCTCCATTACATTTTCATCAGAGTCTGTGCTCGATAGAGAAAGTTCTTCTGTTAATGATGCCAGGAATGCATCTTCTTGTTTGTTGGTTTTCGTGTCACCACGATGAGATTTTGCTGAGCACCCAATGTACCGGTGAATAGCCTTCGTTGCATGGATTGAGCTAATCTCTTGTTCTTTGGCAAAAATTAGCTGCGTAATTGCTTTGTGGGCATCATCCATTAGTAGAGAAGCAGCCATAACTGCAGATGCAATATCAAAGGCTTCTGCTGGGTATTGTAACACTGATTCAATCACAAACCAGGCCTCCAATCGAATAAGCACAGGGATGATCCCAATGAGGAAGACTCTCACAGCCTTAGATAGGAATGCAACTATGAGCTCTTTTTCGAGAACCTTATTGTTTTCCTCTTCCAGTCTGCCCAGGGTCTCCTGCTCTTCTTTGAGTTGATTCATCCCCTGAACCTTTGTGCTGTTCCTGATGACATCCAGCAAGAATGCATTCATCTCGACAGAGTTTTGCTCTGTGATGGACTGAAGTGGCTTTCGCAGTTTTGCAAAACCAAATCCAACAAGGCATGTTACCACAAAGAGCGTGACAGCTGTCAACCCAGCATACCACGCAAATGCAAACGAGAGCACCAAGGAAAGGACTAGCACGACTTTGCACTTGGTGTTGAAAGGCTCCACATGAGCCTGGAACTCTTCAATGACCTTTACTTTCACAAGAAGTTCATTGGCCATTTGGGCTACATCATTGGTATTGGTTCCACTTGGTAAAGTTACTGCCTTGGTTAGTATTTCCATGCGGAGTGCCCGGGATTCATTTTTTGATCTGGCTAAAGAGCAGGAAGTGACCAATGCAGAGACAGCTGCCAATGACCACGAACAAAGAACGGTCAGCCCCATCACTGCAAAGAATGACAGGTTGTCAAGGAATAAGAAGTTCAGGAGTGGGCTTGTAGGCCTTCGTTCGTCAAAAGCAAAGCTCACATAGAGGAGCTTGCGGAGGACTACGGAGTTCCACCACTTTTGAATGACCTGCAGGAGTGCCCAGGAGACCTTGAGAGCAAAGAAAAGTGAATCTGGAACGGACTTGACCATGTTTCGTTTTGCGTTTGTGGATCAAAAATTCTTTATGATGGTTTTTGTATTGATTGTGTGTCACTTTTTGCGAGAGTCCTGAGGCATTTGCAATGATTTTGTTCGTCACTATCCTTGTGGGGAGCTAAAGCAAAATGAGACGCACGTGAGCAGCTCGAGAGCCCGTGCACATGTTGGTGGTACCAATGGGGGAATATCTTTGGTGGGTGCCGGTACGGCGGTACAAGTACTTGTATCGACTACTCTAGCTAGCTAGACTAGCTAGTCTAGTAAGAGTAAAATATTAATAGTGTCAGGACAGATGTCGCTTCCAAAGGGTGAGGAAGCGCTACTGGACTTTGTGCATTTGGCCATTATCTACTATTATAGTACAGTCGTACCGCTCCAGCCGTCGATAGTACCACTGAAACAGGTTTTGTTAATTGGAGGGTTCCCTTGCCTTACTGGGGTATGGGGCAACTATAGGATTTACCAACTGGGCACGGCACGGTCACAGTCTACATAACACAGCAGTTACGTGCAGTTTACTATGGTATATTATGTACCTGGTACTTGAGTTACGTGCAGTTACGTTCCATTACAGTTCATTACGTGCAGTTACGTGTAGTTACGCATAAATACGTATTTCGAAACACATTACTTAGTATCTCAAAATCCATAAGTTGCCCCATACCCCAGTATTTTTCTTCCCCCTCCACTTTCAATCCTGATGAACCCACGCCATATGCATGCAGATCCTAGCACCCACTAGCTAGGATACCAACCGAACGATCGGTACGGTACGGGACATTTACATGTATGGTACCCTCATACCTCATGCCTCAGTTGCCAAGCTCACATGACATTGTGTGCCATTTGGAACACTGCAATCTCACGAATAAGCCAAGATGACAAACACTTCTGGAATACATTTTATCGATCAAGCCGTGGATAGTGGATAGTACCATTGAAAAGCTCTTGTTAATTGAGGCTTTCCACCCTCGCTACATGGTACATGGTAGAGTGATCTGCGCATTAAGACCCACCCCAGATTAAGACTATCCTAATAAATAGAGGTACGTACGTAGACTCAGTACCAGAGCCTTGGAGGTGCTTCCTGAGGGGCCACGTAGGATCTTACAGGATCCTCTACGTAGGATCCTACGTAGATGAGTACCGTGGAGTCTTAATATGCAGATGAAAAGAATTCGTGTCAAAAGTGAGGATAATTTCAACTGCTCATAACTCCACCAATCCACCAATAAGTACACTGTGAGGTTGCGAATTTTGTGGCATACTCAACTACATGTGTTCTATCGATTCCACCCATTACATGTACTATATTCGATATACAGACATGAAGAGAATATTCCGCGGAACGGTCGGTCTTAATGCCCAGATCACTCTACTCTACCCACTGCACGCTGCATGGAGTTTACTCCTGTTTGAACGATCAGACATGGTTTTGTTAGCCAGAGTTTGCCACTCCCCACACAATTGAGATTCGCGACTACAGTATATCGGGGAATTGGACACAAGCCCGAGAGTTTTGATCCAAACAATGATCCTGATGAAGCATCAGCGCCGCCTACCGTATGGATGCACGGCTCCTTAAAGGGCGAACTGGTATTGATATCTGAATCGAATCAACTTGCTTCAGATCAAAGAAGCTTAGACTAGTTTCTCGTAATTAGCAAATTTTGTGCACCCACAATCTGTTGAACAAGTTGTTGATGAGTGCAGCAGACATCATATATGTGTTACAGCAGTACATCTCACAATGATGCCATCCGGGGATATCTCTCCCCCAGACATTGGTCATTGGTGGGGATGATTAGCTACAAGGACACGCACCGTATGTTCAGCAAGGCTGTTGGGTTTTGGCAGCAACCTTGGTCAGGTCTTCCAGCCACAAAGAAGTTTTGGAGAGGAGACCCGATGAAAGACGATCCGTTGAACTCTGTTTCATTCCTCTGGATTGCTTTACCGCTTTACCCATTTCCATTAAATCTGGAGCCATTTCCAATGACCGCGGTGACATGCCACTTGACGCTTCCTCCCAGAAAGAAGAATGGCTACTCCTGGACAGAGCAGCTACATTCGCTGTGGAATGAATCCATCTTGATAGACCTAGATTATTTGCTGAGAATGACAAAGAAGTCTACAGTGGACTGATTTCGCTCCACCACCCTGGACCCCTGCTCTATGTCATGCCGGGCTTTAGTTGACGCCAGATGTACACATATACATAGACAACAAGATTCTTGCAACCTTTAGACTTTGATGCTTACAAGCTGGACTAGCATTTTTGCTCTTCAACTTTTCTTTTGGTTTTCTTCGCACTGGCACCAATTGACTAGCTAGCTAGTAGTAGGCAAGGTTACCGGTAGGGTTGGTTTTCTAAAGGGAGGGGAGGTGCAGCAAGCAAGCAACGAAGCGCAAAAAGTGTAAGCACGGCAAGGGTGCGTCCTTCGATGCCGAGGGTTCGCGAGCTTCGAAGAGAAGCCCCGAATGAGAGAAGCGGAACGGGTCAAACCTGCACCGGCAGCGTCAGTTCGCGTTGCACCGTGCCGGCCACTTGGGGTGTTCGCTTCTGCCTCTCAAGATTTGATGTCAGCCGAAGGCACGAGAGGATGAAATCAAACAGTATCTTTTGTTTGTGACATCCATCGTCAAACTCAACACAAACAACAGCAAGCAACACAGCAAACGACACACATCAGAAAAACCCATCACCATGGTACACACAAAGCAGTGAGTAAACGATTGAATGGATTGACTGAATGACAGCCAGGATGGACTGAGGACAGGAGGAGCCGCTTTGAGGACAGGGAAGGAGTCTTGAGGTGGAACAGCACAAGCGCTGGATCTTTTCGGTCGCGCGTTGTGATTGCTGGATGGTCCCTCTTGAGTCTGCAGAACTCCTGGCCTCTTGCTCTATTCGATGGGACTTCGTTCCCCCCTCGCAGGAGTCTCGGAGAGAGAGCTTGTTGCCCACTCTCGTTTGGATGTTCTGCTTTTGACTCACGCCATTCTCGTTTTTTGTTTTGTAATTTTGGACAGAGACGAGCATCACAAGGGGAAGGCTGCCGTGCCGGAGACTACGGGAACGTCGGAGGGATCGGCCGCACGCAACATTCAACGCAAACACAACAGCGACCCTGGTCAAAAGGAAAAGAAGCAAGGAGGAGGAGGCGGTGGAAAAGGAAAATGGGACGTCTTGGATGATGGATCCATGCCAGCAGATGCCTAGATTTATTTGCCCCCTGCTGTGGACTGACTACACTACATCCAAATGAGCAAGTGGGCTGGCTGGTGGAGCACTCGCGCACAATTCAGCAGCTTTTTCCTCATGTGATGCGGCAGCAAATAAATACAGCAGGGATTTGTACCAACCAAAAATAATTCGCTTCCTGGCAACACATTTGATATCAGAAAATAATTAGTCAACCCATTTTTGGCTTCCTCCTGCGATTGATTTTTTCCTTCTGGCAATGGCTTCTTCATTCGAATCAGGATTTGCCCCTTGGGTTTGCCTAGATTAACTTAGGAATTACGAAATCCAATGGATTGTTTTGGGCGTAATGCTTGGCCCAGAAAGCTGCCCTTGGCACAAACCTGCAACGAAGCATGGCGCTGGGATCTCTTCAGTTGTTTCCCAAGACGCTAGCATCCTTGGACTGCTTCCCCGAGACGGCCTCTTCTTCTCCTTCCCTGGACCGATCCCCTAGCTAGAAAATCACTGCGCTCTAGTTTCTGATAGAGGACTGGGGAATTGATTGCTGGATGTACATGTACGACACCTCTGGCCCAAGGAGGAAGCTGTTGGACTGAATTAATTCTATTCTGGATCTACCAATTGCTTGCTCATGTTTGGTTGGGCCTGACTCCTACTCCGTTTCCGTCCAATGCTAACTTCGGCACGTCAGCCCTGCAAGCTGTTGGAATCATCCCCAAGATCCAGATCTTCGTTGATTTTGGGGTTCTGGTGAGTCGCTCAGTTTGCCTTTGGCCAGAGCTCCCAGCGTTGCGATCCCGCCTCAGGTTCTAGCCCAGGAGCCTATGTTGACTTTCTTTGTTGGGATTCAATGGCAGATGGAACAGAAGATCCAAGCATACGCAGATAGAGGATGCAGCAGTCCGCCAAGCAACGAGCGAACTTCGCAAAGATAGCCTACCAGCCAGCCAGTAGTGAAGTATTAGTTTGGGATCTTGGTGGCTGGGATTCAGGGATCAAGTAACAGCAACACGCTACTAGCACGCAGCCGTCTCAGTGAACGCTTCTGGTACGGTAGGAAGCCACCAACGATCTCTCGCAAAGATAACACAAAAGAATCTGCATTCACTCATGTGGTGTACCGGTAGGCAGGGCTCTCACCAAGAGTCAATGATTCCAGGTGGCCCGCCTGAGCTTCATTCCAAAAATTCTTGCTTTCTGGCTGGCAGCCACGAAGCTCGACTCTTTGATTTGGTGGGCTGCTACAAGCTAGCTAGCAAGAAAGTCTACTCTAGAGTATCATGCATGGACTGGTGGCTGTGTGCCAAGCAAAGTAAGTATCATGCATAGGGGTAGCTAGCTATCATTATTTAGCCATGATTTTTCTTGGCTGGCTGATGTTCCGCCATCATTGCATTCCCAGGCTGGGCAGCTAGCTAGGCTAGCTAAGACAAACGCACGTATCTACAGCAACAGATAGATCTTTACCTGCAGGTGTTCGGCTTGTCCCGAATTTTGTTGTCGCTTCCTGATGATCGGGTTGATGTAGGTATTCTTTGGTGTCGCAGCTTGTTATTCATGCTGACATGGCTTTGAAGGGGCGGTTTCGTACTTCGTACCCACTAGCCTCTCACGATCAGCTCACCCGGTGCGCGGATGAGAAGAGAACTTCTGTCTGGTGCGAATGGATCGCACCGCTGGTCGAACTTCTTGCTGCTCCGAAAGATCGGCCATCACCGACCTTTCATCATAAAAAGCAAACCGACCACGCAAAAGGCACACTCCAGAAAGAGCCGCAAGGGAGTGTTGTCTTGTCATCCATTCTAACCACTAACCTACCGATTTGATACCCTCAGTAATACAACGAGAAGATGGCCGACTTTGCATCTCGACCGGAAGTGACGGTGGAAACCATGGTGAGTCATTCTATCAATCGATACATCGATCAATCACAAATCTTTTGGAGGGCGAGGCAAAGATAGATCTTTCACGATCTTCGAGGCTCGTTTTTTTCGCTTTCCCGAACTCGAAGCACAGGCCAGTCAGAATTCCGTCTGTCAGTCGACCGGGCTGACTCAGTACGAAGCTTCTTGTAGGATTCTACAGGCGATCCTAGAGGTGGAATGAGAATCTGGAATCTTGATGGGGCTTCCGCATGAAGATTTTTGATGACATCAGCAAACTTGTCCATCAAGTCTAACATCATCTCTTCCTTTTCTTTCTCTCTCTCTCTTCCTCGACGTTGACCTTGATGACTTGACTTGCTTGCCCCTGCCGTCCTCTCTCCCCACTGTCTGGTGCCTGTCTGGTGCTGATCCATCACGACGCTATTGCCTGATGCCTTTCCATCACTGTGATCCACGATTTGCTTTTGACCTTCAACTTTTTTCTTTCGTTGTCGTTCATGTTGTGTCATTCATTTTGTTCTTTGACGATGATGTGATCGATGATACGAGAGTAGGGCAAGGTCCACAATCCCTCTGGACAAGGTGTTAAAGCGGTCTCTTCTCAAGTGAAATCAAAGAAATTGAAACAGTTGAACACGGACAGCAACAGCGAGGAAAAGAACGCGTCGGATGCGGGCCATGAAACCAAAGTCAAGGAAGGGACGGCGAAACGCAACATTACGCGCAAAAAGACGGACAGTAGTGCATCTGGGAACTACGACTCTCGCAACAAGAAACAAGGTGGTCACGGCAAGGGAGAATGGAAGGAACATTTGGAACCCATGGATCCAGATTATCGACCGGCAATTGATGAGAAGGATCCTTTGTATAACGAAGAAGAACAGGGCTACATTTTGACCACGGAAAATGGGGTCAGCACTGCCAAGAAAGGTCCTCGTGGATACGATCCCATTGAATCCAAAGCCATCTATGGACCCATGTTGACGCTCAGCGAATTCAAAATTCAAGTGGCCAATTGCGTCAAGGAATACTTTGATTCTGGTGATTCCGATGAAGTCATTCGCACCCTACTCGAGTTGTCATGTCAAGAGTATCACCGAGAGATTGTCAAAAAGGCAATCTCATTGGCCATGGACAAGGGCCCGCGGGAACGGGAACTTACCAGTCGATTGTTGACATCGCTGCATCCAACGCCCATGTCCGATGGCGACATGGCGTTGGGCTTCGAGATCCTTTTGGATTCCCTGGATGATCTGCGAACCGATGTCCCCGATGCAGATGTAAGTTTTAGTTAGTTGTTTTGCGCTCACAGAGAGAACGGGTTTGGTTTTCCTTAACGCACAAAAAAGATGACAACTCACACATGCATGCCCACTCAAAATCGTCAAAAAAATACTAGACCATGGTGGCATCCTTCTTGGCACGAGCCGTCGTGGACGAAGTCTTACCCCCTGCCTTTTTGTCAGACCAAAACAACAGTCGACCAGGAGATCCAGTCATTGAAAAGGCCGTCACGTTGCTGAGTCGGGAACATTGCAACGCCCGTCTAGAAAAGGTCTGGGGACCTGGAGACGGACGTCCCGTGGCGGAGCTGAAACAAGAAATGGATCAATTGCTCCAGGAATACCTCATGTCGCGAGAACTGGATGAAGCGGCACGATGCGTCAAGGAATTGGGCGCCACACACTTTCATCACGAATTAGTCAAACGTGGTGTCAAGATTGCCATGGAGTTGGATGGAAATGCCGCTCAGAATGCGGCCGCTCCCCATGATTTGAGCAACATGGATGCCATGGCGGCGCTGTTTGCCTTTTTGGTACGGAATGCTATTGTGTCGGAATATCAGGTCACCAAAGGGGTGGCGCGCTTGCATTCCTTGCTGGATGATTTGTCGTTGGATGTCCCGGCAGCGCCCAAGCTTTTGAAAGAGTTCGAAGTCATGGCGGAGGAAGGAGGATGCTTGGTCAAGCCGCGTCCTAATCCCAATGGAGGAGTAGCAACTGCCAATGGCGAAGCACCCAAGAATGGGGTTGTCGTAGCTGCAGAAGCCTCCTAGAGGAGAGCAACGAACCAATACGACACGACACGCAACAAACTTGGTCTGAAATTGCAAATTCATATCAGCTTTTTTGGACACGATGATGATACATTTTCTGCTGCTTTCACTTGGAAGAGTTCCCCCGATGACGACTTCTTTGCACGAGATATATCCTTTTGGCATGTGCTTTCTTTGCCCAGCCTTCTGCACACCTAACTAAAACACGTTGTACAGTACATGTAGATTTTCTGCAAGTAACAGGATCTTCCGTTTCTCAAGACTAGACTACTGCCACCGAACGCCTCTCCTTCGATGCTCACAAAACACTCTAGCTACACATAGCCACACACACCATGAAGCCTCAACATGGTTTCATGGAGACTGCCATTAGTGGATTGTTTTCTACAAGTATGCTTGGCGGCACCAGTACAAAGTGTAGTGCCTTCTTTGTGCCTCGGTGGCAATGTTTGGATCTACAGCTTACATAGCATGTAAAGTTTTTTTTTAGAGTACTGTAGGGGGTTATCGAGTAGGATGTTGGACGTCACCCTCAAGGCCGAAGAAATGTAAAACACACACAAACATGTAAACAACAAATCGTCTAAACTGAAAAGTTGACAACCTCATAGTTGTTGTTTTGAAGGGGCACTGTTTGGGAGACGGACGGAGAATCCAATGCGAGGACGTAGTCAGCAGGCTGTCCTTGGTGCTGATAGGCAATCTGATAAAAGCCATCCTCGTCGGTGACACCATTTCCAACCTCGCTGCCTCCTGATGTCAACGAAACTGTCACGCCAGCAACCGGATGTTGCAGCTCATCCAGCACAAAGCCAGCCACACCAGGGTTATCTTGGTACACGTTAGTGTTCTCGATGGTGGTGCTGCTGGATTGAAGGTCGGGGCTAATCATTGAGAAGGTCATGTCGCAATGGTTCTTCAAGACGAGTTCGCCAGAGGTGGCATCCACTGCAGTGCTGGAAGCTTGGTCGGGCAGGTCGTGTTCCGTTAGGCCCAGAACCAGACGAACCACAAGATGGACAAATCCAGTGCTTGGGATAACCATTGATACCTGGACGGACTTGGTAGAACCACATTCTCTGGTGC